TGGAAATTTTAATTCTGTGAGAGGATTTGAAGTGGTAGACCAAATTAAGGCTGAAGTAGACAGAGTTTGTGGGCGCCCAGTGGTTTCTTGCGCAGATATCTTGGCCGTTGCAGCTCGAGATTCTGTAGTTGCGGTAAAGTCAAACACATTTTCATTATCAGAAATTTGTCAGTTGAATTCATAACAAGCATTTCTAATAAATTTCATGGTTGCAGCTAGGAGGGCCGTCATGGAAGGTTCGTTTGGGTAGGAGAGATTCAACCACAGCTAGCAGGACTCTAGCAGACACTGTACTTCCATCGCATCCATGGACCTCCCTGCATTGATCGACAACTTCAAGAATCAGGGCCTGAACCAAAGAGATCTAGTAGCTCTCTCTGGGGGCCACACCATTGGGCTGTCACAATGTTTTCTCTTTAGGAACAGAATTTACAATGCCACAAATATTGACCCTGCCTTTGCTAAAGAGCGAAGAGCAACTTGCCCACGTGTCGGAGGCAATACTAACCTCGCTCCTTTGGACCCAACGCCTGCGCGCTTTGACACCGCATACTTCAAAAACCTGGTGGAGAAGAGGGGACTACTCACCTCAGATCAGGCACTTTTCAACGGTGGCTCAACTGATAAACTTGTTAAGACTTACAGCTTGAATCCTGATGCTTTCTGGGATGATTTTGCTAAGTCTATGATTAAGATGGGGAACATTAAGCCTTTAACCGGAAAGCAAGGACAAATTCGTGTCAACTGCAGGAAGGTAAACTGATGAAGCTGTTGTGCTCTGTTGCTCTCCAACTCCAGTTTGTCATCTTTTTTTTTTTTTTGTATTTGTTGTTGAATAAGAGGTCTTAACTCTTCTATGGACCTTAAGTAAATTGTTTGGTACGTTGTATTCAGTTCACAATTGTTAAGTTCAAGTGTTTAAAAAATTCTTTTGATTTTATTTATTACGTCTCCTCAAATAATCTCACATTTATTAATATTAGAGGTAATTAGGTTGAAGCTAGTTGGTTTGATATAATGAAATAGTATAGTTTTCATTTTGCTGAAATTAGTTTAATTCAAATTAAGTATATCGGGCTGATCAGCTTTATATTTCCCTCAATAAAGAAAAGCTGAAGAGTGTAGATGGGTTCCTGCTTTGTGCTACTTCTTATATACAATTCTTTTTCCCAAGACATTAGGTACAATTAGAGCACATTTTCCAGAGTTGGAGAACATGCCAAAGTCGTTCATCAATGGCGCCATCTTGAGGCCTGCTCAGTATATGGCATGCATTAGTTTTATGTGCATGTTCAATCCTATGTACATTACTATGATAAATACATGAGCTATGTGCAGAAGAAATTAGTACTTAAGACATGTCTAATATATATTTAGACCTCTTAAATTTTGATAACAATTCTACGTAAATACATTAGTATTCAAAATAAACAATCCGTCGTAAAAAAATATTTTTTATTAAATACATAAATACTGTTATTAATCACTCATCAATATTCTTATTAATTTAATGATGTGATAATATTTTTAAAATAATTTTATAATTCATTAATTTTAAAAATTATCACTACATAAAATATAATTTTTTTCTTTCTCTATCGAAACATGCTTTTCAAAATTTTCTCCACCATGACTGACAACGATGGATGGTAGCGGTGGCAAGCATGGCAAGCATCCATCAGACTTGCCTTAGCTAGATCCTTGTCGTGGAGAAAAAGAAGGATATTTTAGATATTTTATATTTACCGGTTAATGCCATTTACACGTTTGGAACATACTATTTATTTTAAATATTAATAGATTTATGTGAAATTATAATCAAAATTTAAAAAGTTTGAATATTTTATCATATATTTTATACTACAAACTACAAAAAACAACACGAAGCAAAATCGAATAGCTTATCAGAATTTAGATTTATACATGATATATTGACAATATATTTATTCTAACCCCTTCGAGCTAAGTCAAATTGATACTAACATGTTCTCATTGTATTATTAATCAAACTTAGAAGTTTAGAAATTTTAATAAATAAATATATATATATATTAATTTAAGAAAATTTAAATAAAAAATATAGAATTGTGGTGGTTGCATGAAGGCTGAGATATTGAGATGTTTGGCTAGTGTAGATTGTGGTGGACATGGGTAAATTTAACGATTTGTGTTCACATGTTTGAATCATGTCGTGTAAATATATGATATTAATAATTATATGAATAAACATAAACATGACATAATTAAATATGTCAAAGACTTAAATACATAACTCAAAATAAAATCAAATAAGTTATTAATTTATTATTTTACTTTAATTCAAAATAAGTATGAATGCAATACAATTAATTCATTAATTATTATACTTTTATTTGATTAAAAAAGTTAAAAAAAACAACAATAAAATAATATTGTATAAAATATTCATTTATTTCCTTAAAAAATACGTTTTTACAATTAACTTTTGACTGTTTTTGAATGAAATTAATAACACTTTGTTAAAATTGCATTCACTAAAAAATATATGATAAATTTTGATTTATCACTTTAAGCAAAAGTAGTAAATTCGAAGCATTTGTTAGCATATGCATAACTTTTATGTTTATGTTTAAGAGCAAACTTAGCTTCTAAGAGTCCTCGTTCAATGTTCACAGTAAGGTGGCGTTTGGTACTTTACAATATAATGTGATTATAGGTTTTTCTCGTGTAGCTCACAAGATTTTTGTTTTTGCCCTTTAGGATTTTTGGCTGTAACTGTTACACCACAACATCTTCTTCTCAATAGAAATGCTCTCTTCCAAGGAGGATTGCAACCACATAATTACTGCCTTCCAATACTCAAAAGAGAAACCCATAGTATGTTCCATTCAACATTTTTCACTGTACTTCAAATATGCACTGCTTTTTGTGAACGGAATGTAATTGCAGGAAAAATAACATTACAGTGTTTTATATACAAGCAAAATAACAATTAAAATGCAAAAAAGATAACAATGCAGTGTTTGGTTTACAAGTACTTTATTGGGAATGTAATGTTAATTTTCAAAATTATTCCTAATTATTAAAATACAAGTTTAATATATTTATATTTTTTATTATTAATTTTTATATAGTATCATTTCTTAAATATATTTTTAATGTCATATATTTTATTTTTATTTATTTTTATAATATTTTATATTTTATTTTTAATATATTTATATTTATATTATTAATTTTTATATAATATCATATCTTAAATATATTTTTAATGTCATATATTTTATTTTCATTTATTATTATAATCTTATATATTTTATTTTCATTTCTTTAATATATTTTTTATATTATATATTTTATTTTAATTTGTTTTACCTATATTATATAAATGTTAATTTTTTATATTTTATTTTATTTTAATTTTTTATTCTTATATTATATATTTTATTTTAATGTTTTTTATTTTAATTATAATATTATAAAATATTTTTAATAAGGTAATAAAATTAAAGGGTAAAATTATTTTTAAAAATATTACAGAGTGCAATGCAATGTGATTGCATTGGTTTTGGACTGTAATCACATTAAATCTCTTAGCTGTAATGTGATTGCATTATAATTTTATATTGCAGTGGTCTGTTACAAAACAAACACCTAATTTAATTAGATACATTATCGGAAATGTGCTACCGTTTTTTTTATACCAAACGTAACCTAAGTTTAGGCTTATTGTTAGGTGTTCACGGTTCCTAGGTTAAGTATAATTATGGTATTATCATATTCATACACTTTTATGTATAGAAAAGCCTAAGGGATTGCAGTAATTATGTAAGAAAAAGCCGAGCCAAGTTAAAGGTAACATAACTGAATGTGAACTCTGTGTGACTTGGCCAATAGCCACACATCGCCATAATTATCATGTCTAACAAGGGATGGAGCCGGAGTTTCAAGTCATGGGTAGTTCATGTTATAATAATTTTATAAAAGAATTATGCTATAATTTTATTTTTGTGCTATCTATTTATCTTCAAACCTTTTTAAAATAAAAGTTATTTTAATAATATTTTTGACTCGATAGTTAATGTATATATTTTTATTTACAAAATTAAATTCGAATCTCTCTTCATTTAAATAAAAAAATCATTTGTATTAAATGTTGTTATACTGTTTTTGATACCCAAAATATTAGAAATAATTGTAGTAAAAGTAATTTAAGAAAGTGAAAAAAAAATAGAAAAGCACAGGTTTTGGGAAAGCCACAGGGCCATGGTCCCCCCGTCGATGTGCCTAATTTAAACCCCAGTTGACGCCTACCACATTGGGTGCCACCGATTGCTGCTGCACTGTGGTTTGGTCTTCTCACGTCATATTAAATTATTAACAGACAAAAGTGAACCCAGACACGACATGACAGTTAAAAAGATTGCAAGTGCTAAATGGGATAAACTAACCAGGAAGAGAGTTGAAAAGTGCAAGTAAAACAGCCAGTCCTTGAATAATTTGTACGGTGCATGTATACTACATGTGCACATGCCTTGTGCAATTGCACCAGATCAGTTTAATTGACTAGAAAGTTGCAACACAAACTTTTTATTTCTCTGGAATCTAGAAGATGAACAATCTACCTTCACTGTAACTCTGTAAGCAAATATATCTGGTAACTTGTGAGACTTAAAAAAGGAGAATAAAAAATTAAAAAGAAACGTCCAGCATTTGCAATTGGCTCCCAAAAATCTGCATCAATTGATCTCCTCTCCTCTATTGAAAGTCCAACAACTACGAGCACAGTGAAGCTCTAATCGACCTCCAGTTCTCGGACTGATGATCAATTGTATTAACTTCCATCTTCAACAACTAAAACAACGCTGCCATGCTGATGATTTCCTAATCCATTTACCGGGGTTCGCTGGCCAGTGACTTCCGGGGTTGTCTCGGTAGTTGCTGTATCATGTTCAAGTAGCGAATGCCGACAATTCGGGCAGGACGAGTGTGACACCAGCCATGTGTCTATGCACCTCACATGAAATCCATGGTTACATTTTGGGAGCACTCTAACTTTTTCTCCATCCACAAAATCTCCAAGGCAAATTGGGCACTCAGTGGACGGAAAATTCACGCCTGTCCCATAAACAGCCACGGGGATTTGCTTCAAATCTCGTTTTTTGAGGCCTGTTGTGGCCAGGCGGGCCGCTGCTTGTTCTGGCGTCTCCAGGGCAAACCTGCGGCTGCAACGCAGAGCGCAACGGACTATTGAGTTCAATCCCAGCGCACAGATCAGAGCACATAAAAGGGCTGCCAATATAATCACCATGTTGGTGTCAAAATTTGCCTCGCTAATGTAAGCATCATGAGTTTTGTTTCCATTGGCTGGTGGCAAGCTCACTTCTGTCTCAAGCAGGCGGCGATGCATATTCACAATTGATGGTAACATAGCTGACCACTTGAAAAATTGAGTAAAAAAAAAAAACCAAACAAACAAACAAGTTTGATGTAGAAGAAGTGTTCCAAACCCCTAAAGGATGGTATGGCTTTTGATGGGTTTGTTTAATGTCAAGAAACAAGAAGCGGAAAAAAGAACAAAGGGTTTTCTGTTTTTTTTTTTTTTCTTTTCGTTTCTTTCCTCGGGGTCAAGTCGGTTTACCTTGGGCAGAACGCAAAGGAGTTGGGAGGTTCTTTTGGGCTACAGTAATGTTCTCAAGATTCCAACTAGAAAGAGACACAGAAAGAGCATCTTCTTTGTCTCTAGGATAAGGAAAAGGAAGACTGTAAATTGTTTTGTGGGTGCTTGTTATCCGAATCGGGGACCGTTTCGCTGCAGGATTCCCCAGCTTCTTAATCAGAAAATGGTCCTCCCAGTACTGAAATATGTCTCTTCTTGGAGCCGAAAAAGAACAGCACAGCAAAAGATGGTTGAGATTGAAACCGAGAATTAGAAAATTGCAGCCTTACCTGAGACTCTCAGTTTTTTGGTACACAATTCATGGCTAGAGGTTGCTCAAGGAGGTCCCAGTTCTCCCTTTCATTGCCTGAAAGCTAGAGCACTAACCTTTCTTTATGCAGTTGCAATAAAGACTGGAAGGCTAATTTATATCAAATTGATTGTTATCTTTGCGAGGGTCAGGTTTCGAGAGATCCATGCTAAGATACAAATGGAAGATCCAGAGTTAAAGTTAGACATAAATGTGGCTGGTTTGCCTACCTAATCATGATTTGCAACTTTAATATCTCTGATACTCGGTATCAAATCCTATCATGGTTTCCTGGTTAAACAGTTGTTCCATAACTTAGAAATTCCAGCGTAGTTTCAGCCAGTGACAAAAGACTTTGGTCATAAGGCAGATGCAGCTTGATTAGTGGAAAGTTTGCTGCCGTTTTCTGATTTGGTTACTTACGACTTTTGACATCATCATAGGCAGATAACTACTATTATTTATCCAGACGAAATCAACCTCACCCGCGAAATATCTCCTACCCTTTTCCCCTTCCCTAACTACAAAGTGAATTGATGTTATCCTTTTTAATGAAAAGAAAATGCAACTTGGACACTCTACCAAACAGAAAGCCATGCAACTTGCGGAATTACTCAAACACCCTCTTCATTTTAACACAATATCAAATGTTTAGCCGCCTCCAATTAAAGGAAAACCTCCCTTGTAATTAAAAGCCTTCAAATTCCAATAATAATCCTTAATTGGGTTAACAAGCATTTTTAAGTTAATAAATACAAACCTGAGATTAAAATTTATTAAGTTTAAGAATTTTTCAAGTTTTAAATGATTCATTGCTTGATTTGAGGTTGAGACTAGATTTCAAATACCAATTTAACAAATTTTATACACTTATTACAGGATATGTTTTCGGTAATAAGAAAAAACAATTTGCCAAAATCAATGAATCCTGGAAATTAATCAATGTTCTTTAATCAAGATCTTCTATCTCAAAAACTGTGATTAAAAAAATAAAAAACCAGTCAGATGGAACTATGAATGTAACCCTTTTTAACTTTATAAAACTTCTTCCCCGCAGACGAGGACATTGCCCCATTCGTGACAGGAACTAATCTTGTGACCGAGGGATTGGTCTCGTGACCGTCGGGGACACGTTGCTTTGTCGGGTTTTTATGTTTTGTTGATGAGGCGGTGGACCCTCGGATGGCAGCATGGATCGTGGGGCTTCGTGGTTGGTTTTGTTGAATTTCAGGTTACATCAAAGAGACATAACCATGCTAGCTTTGAACCACTTTGCTAACCTCCCTCATTGTTTAATGCTTATGCAGTTAGGTAATAAAGAATGAAAAGCTGTTGGCAGTTGGAAATAGCCACCCATTTTCCCACATATAAGCTTGGTCTCAATAGATGGCCTCAGCAACCAAAACCAAGATTACCAAACGTTGTGCTCACTGCTTAGTTAAACTAACCCCACAACCCACTTATGCATTATTGCCATTTATGAGCTAAGACTCCTCCTTTTTTGACTCTCTCTTACTGATGAATCCTTGTAAGTAACATGATTAATTGCATCATTATCTTGCCACCAAGAACTAGATGGGACTTTAATAAAATTGGATTCATGTATAACTGGAGCCAATGTGCTACTTTCATAGTCATGTTCTTCTAGTTAAGTTTTATATTTGAGACAATTTCTTATGTCCCTTTTCCTTGTCAAAAAAACATTGTAGTTATTTTCTTAGGACAACTTCTAAAACCCTTATAGGGATCGATTGATCAAATTCTTTTTTTATCCTCCATTTGTTTAGAAGCATTAGGTTTAGTGGACCATCTCAATGATATATTTTGTAACTCTTCTTATCCTATCATAACTCATTAACTCATGAAACAAAGTCCTTTGAAAATATTAACAATTCCAATATCTTATGACACCCTATACTTCTGTGTTACTGCAATTAAGAACTTTTTTACATTAATTGTATTAAGAAGTCCACTTAATAGGTGTACAAGAATAGACCTTTAAATAACAAGCATACAAAATTTATTCGATCTTTTCCATACATCAAAGATTTTTCCTATAATTCTCAAAATTTCCAACAGTATGTTCAAAATGATTAACTACATTCATAACTGGATCTATTGTTGCTATATAAATAGTAAATTATACATCACTTTTCTAATTCTTAATATTTGACCCGCTATAAATCTTAACGATGTTTATATTGTTATTGACAAAAAAATGTGATTAAAAATTTAAATAATGCAACTTAATTAGAATAAATAAGATAATTTAAATACTACAGAATCTTAAATAAGTATAACCGAAGAGCATTGATATAACATCATGTAAACACTTTTAAGCTAATTGCATGACATAATAGAAATCCTTTAAAATAAAAGTGATCATGAAATAAAATACAATTTTTGTAACTTATCACATTTAAGTGAGTAAACTAGAGTTAGCAATTCCCACACATACTTTTATGTGCTACCTTTTAATTTTTATATACAAACACCACCTTTAAGTGAATGAATACATATCAAAACCAAAAACATCCCTAAAATATATGTAAATGATAACTTCACAACATTGGTTAATTGGTCACTTTAGTCACTACAAATTAACAAACATAATGATACTTCTCCCATAATGGGATAGTGCTTTATATTACCCATACAAACTTTATGATATGATTTATTTATTTAATTATTAACTTAATGAGGGTAAGGCATCATACTCCAAAATCATACCTACATATTTAACATAACCTTATAAGATATTTAGTTATTATATAACTCCATGTATGCCACCAAATAAATTTGTTGCATTGGAAAATATCACCTTTTTTTTTTTGCATTGGAAAATATCACTCCATAAGGTTTAGTTATTGATTTGTACCCTATACTCTTATCCTAAGAGTATATAAAATTTAGAAATATTTAGGGAAAGGACATGTTACCATTAAACTTAACAACATGAAAATCATTTTTCGGTCACATGCATTTAAAATATATCCTACCAAGATACTCAAAATAATAAATTAAATGCACATAATAAATAAACAAATATTAAACATGTACAAAAATTAGAAAAATAGCACAAATAGGTAGAATTGAAGAGTGAACGTAAATAGTCGAAAAACGGCCCAAGATATTGGTTTGACTGGGCCATAGGTGCCCATCCCCGCCTCCCTTTGCCTGTCTGGCTTGTTAGCAGTGTGACTAGCCATCTTTTTAAACCTCTAGTCGGGTCGGATCGGGTCAAACTCGAGTGGAGCAATTTCGACCTGTTTCGAGTCTACCATGCTTTTTCTCTGTAGTTCTAGATTTTTAAGGCCATTTGATGCAATTTTGCATTCCATTTACGTGACTTAAATATAAATTCACTGAAACCATCATCAAATTTGATTAAAAAATACAAAAAAAGTTCCATTTATTTTTCGGGTTTCAAAAATTCAAGTTCTTTTGGATTTGAAAAGGGAGTCAATCGCAGATGGGTTAAAAAACTAAGTTGGGAAAGTGTTGCTATTCCTTAAAAAAAAAAAAATCCAAAATTCACTATCCTTTCAATAACATTAGATGAGACTTGATTTCTTTTGTTAGTAACTGACGAGGTTAAATCTCCTTGGTGTTTTGCATAATTTTGAGAAAAAAGTATGATATTTTTGCCATATACATATCTCTTAAAAACATTTTATTTTTGTTATTTAACGCGCTTGTCTCATGACTTATTTTTATGAATTTTTAGATACAATATTTTCAAAAAAATTTAAATTATTTAAAAATTTTTAAAATTTTTTATTATATTTAAAAAAAATTATATTTTTATTTTAAATTAAATATACATCTATTAATAATAATTAATTAAATATAAATCAAAATATCACCGAACATATTTATATTTATCTAGTTTTAACGTAGAAGGTGAAAAGATTATATATAATATCATTATATTATATTAATATGTTATGTCAGTATTTTATGATATATAATGATAAACGATATTTTAATTAATAATAATTAATTTTTTATTAATTATAAAACTTATTTAACTTAAAAAAATATAAAAATTTAATCAAATACTTATTTAATTTTTTTTCATAATTTAATGTTTTTTAAAATATTATATATTTATATTACCTAAATAATCAGCCACGTGGTTGGACATCTAGTCAAATATTCCATGTTATTAGTTGATTACAAACCTTCACATATTAAGCGTAGCATGTACTACACTCTGTTGAAATGTATCATATTTGAATATTTTTTAAAGATTTAATCTTAATTTAAATAAAGTAATAGGTTTGATCTGAACATGATAAATCGAGCAAAGATTTAATCCTAGAATTTGAGTAATTAACTTTTACTTTTTTTTAATAAGTTGCTTGATGAAATATGCATAAATATTGTATTTTCAATTTTGTTCAAGGAAAGTGCTTACAATTTTTATTGTTCCCAATTGTTCCATTTCTTGTTCAAGTTATTGTCACTAGTGAAGAGCAAGAAGAGAAAAAAAACTCGAAAACTCAGTAGGGAAATGCTTATTTTCATTAAAATCCATGTCTCCTCTATTATGGCACCAAAGATATCCATTGCTGCCGCTAGCCATGTTTGCCCAATTCGGTTTATCAAATTACTCTCTTCGGATCTCTTTCTTTTCTCGAGCCTAATCATCATCGACTTGCCTACCTACCTCTGTAGCTAAACCTCTCCCCAATTTGAAATGGTTATGCCATTGGTATGCCAGCAACTGAGTCTACATGGTGAGTGGACTCAACTCCATACCTGCATACTTGACTTCTCAGCTTTTCGCTGAAAACAATTTCACGTAAACTAAAAACAATAAAAATAAAATTAGATTTCTTTATATATGGGAAAGTTGCAAGGTATTGGAAAGATGTTGCGTATGAAGTAGCAATGGAGTATCAATCTACCTGTTACTTGTATCGTTTCATAATCCATACCCAAGGAAACGACATTCCCTCAAAACCAAATTTAGAATCCAAGACGAAAGATTTCTTGTTCTGAATTTCTCTGGCTTTCTTTTCTCATTTTTGTTGTGTGCAGGATTTGAAAAGCTTTTCTTTCCTCTCATTTTTTCCTGGGGCCGGGGCGGGGGGCCGCGAAAAGCAAACTAACTTTTAAAGGTCTTAAACGACAGCGTGGGAGGAACTACAAATGGACGCGTGGGATGACGCGCCCCCAAATTATCCTCTTTCGCGCCCATTTTCCTCACAGTTGATATCTTAGACAAGCTTCTCTGGCAAGCTTCACAATTGATATTTATTTTCGCTTGGGATTTCCAAATCTTCTTTTTTCTTTTCAACTGAAA